TCCCCTGAAAGCAGATGCCACCATAGAAGTGAAATCTCAAAGTGCCACCTACTTTTGGGTTGTGCCACACCGAGAAGGAAGCAACATATACCACATGGGGTGAATGGTTTTACTCTCTACATATCAGACACATTGTTTTCTTCTTATTGTAATAACAATGAAATGTTCAAAATCAAAAATACATTAAACATGTGTGTGCAAAGTGTTAAATAGCAACCAAGCTGGAGCAACCCCAGCCAAGCCCTTTTGAGGGAGAAGCAGAGGAGTTTTTCCATTGCCTTCTTCCACAGTGCTGTCCTGGTTGGTCTCCCTTCCAAGTACCGGTCCTGCTTAGCTTCTGGCCATACCATGCTTCCTTCCCTCCCCGAAAAAATGTTGCTTACACTTAAAACGATTACATCAAATTTGTTATTAAAATCTCTATTTTTCAAGATTGCTTGAGTCTGATGCTAAACCATACAATGAAGAAACAAAAATCTGACGGAGGTATAGAGACCAAGAGAGGGGAGGAGGATTGAAAAGAGGCGGAAAAGCAGAAAATTGCATGTTGCAACTATTATGAAGGCCAGAGCACAGAGTCTATCAGAAAGTAACAGAGAAGTACACATTTGCAAAAGGGAATGACTAGACCATCTTTTAAGCAAGGAATAACTTCATTAAAAAGACACAGCAAGAACCACTGTGTGCAATGTATTCTTGTAATATTGTTGGAAGCCAAGAGTAACCCAAAGGGCAAGCACATATCCTGTCTAAAAACCTTTCCTTATATCATGTGAAACAAGCATGGGGCCTAGTCTTTCTCTACTCTCTTTTCCCAGTGCATTCAATTGCAACACTTGGTAATCTGTAGGGCAGTTTCAACAACATTTTTTCGGTACTAGCAGTAGCAATTTCCCCAACTCCTATGCTTTCTGCGTTGTCCTACCTCAGAACCCACCTTTATCAGTCTGAACAGTCTTTTTTAAAGTGCCCCATTGTAAACTCTGTACACAGCTCTGTTTGCGATTTCATTGTGATTTCCACAATTATTTCCCAATGTCATATGCACTGGAATACTGAAGGGTATATATATTTCCCCCCCACTCCAGTTTCCCTGACTTCCAGTTTTCTAAATTAGGCATATTCCTATCTCACTGTATGGAAATGTAGTCAATTAAAAGCAAGCAAATAAGCAAACAAATTTCTAACTCTTGCCCTGCTCTTTGCTCACCACAATATACACATTTTTCAGTATAGGAGAAGAAGGGTGGGGAGGCAACATATTACGTACCAATCTTGTAAGATCTTGAAAGTTAAGCAGGCTCGGTGCTTGGAAGGGAGACCACGAAAGGCCACCATCTGCAGAGGAAGGCAATGGAAAACCTAGGGTTGCCAGCCTCCAGGTGGGACCTGGAGACCTTCCACCTGGCAGCCATAGGGAAACCACCTCTGCTTTTCACTTGCCTTAAAAGCCCCTTGTTGGGGTTGCTATACGTCAGCTGAGACTTGACAGTATTTTACACACATACACACACACGCGGGAGAAGAAAACCCATATGTACTGCTGCAAATAGAAATTAATAAGATTCAGAAAGAAAAAGAAAAAGTTATGTACTGGCATGGATCAGTTCTATATGCTGTTCGTTACATATCTCAGTTTTTTGGGGATTAGATTCAAAATAAAATTGAGGAGAAAAAATATATAATTACTCTGTGAATTCAAACGTCTCTTGAGGAAAATCATTGTCAAACTTTTGTTCGTGTACGTGGTAGCTGAATTGAGAAACAATCCCACCAATGAGGAAATCCCCTGGTTGGTACCATTCATGAGGAATATGGATCTCCTCTCTGGAGCATGCCATTGTATCTACTTTGCATGCAATGCAAGGCAGAAGCACCAGCAACACCACTAGCTCCGACATTTGGACGGAAATGCTCGTTTCAGGATCCAACCTCTCCATGTCTATCTGTAGCATTATGCTGTCTTACTCAAGCTCCCTTGGAGAGTGGCTAAGTCCGCTTAAGTTACTTAAAGGGGAGTACATGTTTCCATCTCCCTATTGCAGAGTTTCAGAATGTCTGCAGCAGTGTCAACACTCTGATTTCTAGTCTAGCAAAGCAATAAACTCATGATCCAACTGATGCAGTCCCTTTGAACAGCTATCAATTGCACACAGGGGTTGTAGTAATCACTATTAAACATGTTCCTTTATTTTTTTTGTGCTTTCTGAAACACCACCACAATTTTGGCCAGTTTGATAAATTACAGCAATTCTGTTAATTCCAGTGGGAAATAATTATGTCTACAGAGTTTGAGCGCTTAGTAGCAACGTTTGTATCAAATATGGGTTTCCCCCCCCCTCCCCATCTGATCCAACAAGTTTCCTCAGCTCCTAAGTGGTTCAAACTTGCCTCTGGCTTTCAGACGTCCCTGGTGAGCAAACACCAATAGCAAAGTTAGAGCCCAAGAGCTAGCCTTCAGTTTGATGATGCACAAGGACATATTTCATTTTTGTGGACTGTATTCCTAAATAGGCTGATTCAGAAGTAAGTCCAATGAAATTAAGTGGAATTATAAGAACAGGTATCACACAAAAAGGGCTAGGTGAAGTTCTGAAGGGCTATTCATCAGGTGGACTCTGGCCCTGTTCACACGAGACGTTTTAGGCCGGGAGAGGGACGGATCGGGGCCGCAGCAAACGGGCGTGATCCCAACATCTGGGAATCATGCTGCGCCTGTTCCCAGCCCGTTCCCAATCCACCCCACCCGGCCAAACCCCGCAGCAAAAAAGAACCACCTACCTAGGCGGTTCTTTCCAAAAGGCCACATCACTGCCGGCCGTGGAATCGAGCATGCGCAGTTCGGCAGCCTCCCCCTCCCAATCGTCTCTTCCTCCCCGGCATCTGATCGTGCCGGGGAGCAACGGCCGCGACATCTCTTTTTTGGTGCGGCTTTTAAAAGCCACACTTTGTCCAGTGTTTTCCCTGCCGTGTGGCAGGGGCCTCTGAATAGCATTTAGAAATGCAGATACTTTTCCTGGGCCCTGGTCACACGGAAGGATTTGCCCCACGAAACAGATGGATTGAGGGTGCATCAAATGGGCGCGATCATACGGCAACATCTAGGAAGCGTAGCGCACCCGTCTCCAACCCGTACCATCGGCCTGAAGAAGCGAATTTAAAAGGCACTGGGGAAAAGGTAGTAGTTTCTGGTAAATGAGCGTCATGGGCGGGTGTCTGATCGGAGACGCGCCGGTAGCCCATGGTATCGAACAGCTGTCCGCGACCCGTGCATGTGCAGTAACATAGTACTGCCGTGTTGCTTCGCTGGGACCATGCTGTTGCCTCCCTTGTGTGATTGGCTGCCAACGGCCTGAGGACAGAGCCGCGGGGGACCGTAAGATTGCACGTCTGTGCTTCTTTTAGCTCCGCCTTTAAAATGCCTCCCTTCCAGTGCGGATTTTCCCACTCGTATGACCGGGGCCCTGGTGGAACTCGACATTGTTTCATATGCATACCGTTGCTGGGTGGAAGGGGAAGACTGGCGACTGCTTTGAGGGCTGCCTTGATCAACATGAAAATGGAAACCCATTTGCAGAGCTGTTGGCTAGCTCTGTGTTTCAGGCCAAGAGTGCCTTCTTTGGTCTGACTTTGTGGGTCTCTGATCCAGGTTAGAGGAGGGTTGCCCCGTTATTTAGGGCTACCCATGAGTAAAGCAGTGCCTTTGGGCTACGCACCTACCTCTGCATGCTGCTGTGTGGACAGTATTGTGTTGGGATGCCCCCCCCCATTCTGTTGATGTCCTTGTTGCTCCCACAAACCATCCGTCCACACCCTCAGCCCAGAGCCCGCAACAGACACCAAGGCCAGGAATTAGCACACTGGTAAAACTTTATTGAAGGCAACCAGGGAAAGCAGAGGGGCTGGATGGGATTCTGGCACTTTCGGCCATAAACCTATCCCATCGGTCAGCAGTAGGGGGGCCTCTTTGATGGTCACACATGGGGGGGACTTGGAGGCTGGCTCTGTCTGCATACTTTTGAGGGCCAGTTTCTGCTGGGGGAATGGCACTTGGTGAGGGGGGGGCTTTCCCTGTAGCATCAACAACTCCTGTGCTCTGGGGAAAACAGGGTGGTGGGGCTGCCAACACTTCATTGTGGCACAGAGGGTCCAATCTTCTGTCCTGGATTGATCACCTGGAGGGACCTTTAAACCTAATAGGAGGGAGTGAGAGGGGATGTTGCGGGCTGCACACTCGGCTCACAAGAAGACCTTTTAAAGGGTCTTTTTGAGAGTGGGGTTGGGTCTGTGGTACATGGGCCTGATTTTCCCCAGGGTCTTTTTGTGAGCCAACAGTGCAACCCATGACGGTCACTCTCCCTCCCTCCTGCTATATTTAAAGGGCTTTCCCCAGGGGCTAGCTGGCCAGGAGCAGATTGGAAGCCCTGCCTGGACCTGGAGGCTGCTTACCCTAATCATAATGGTTGAGATGCCATTTAAAAGGCCCCATCTTGTGTAGTCACCAAATGAGAATCCGTAATTCATGGACTTGCAACTGTGATCCTAATTCCCAGGGATATTCTGGGAGGCCAAAAGAATGCCTGGTAAGGAGCCCTACATTCTCTCTCCTCTATGTCTCCTCCCCTAATGAAGGGGCAAATACCAAGATGGAAAGAAATGAGGCACAACAACATTATTGATAAACCACACTAACCCAATGGCAGCACAGGTTATTGGCAGAATCAATGTGTTGCTCCATGCCAGAAACGCTGTGCCTGGTCTGGAAGGACACAGTTGGGTGCTGCTATCCCTATGTTGCTCCTCATGGGTGGCATCATGTGTGTATGTTCTCCCTTGCTTTGTTCAGGTCACAGCAGAATGATGCACGATTTGGAGGAAATATAAAAGCCAGTAACCTAGCAGTGACAGATGAAATTCAGAAGATCTCAACGTGTACCAGGTATTTCCTTTTGGTGGCCAGAAAGAGAAAGCAGGGGCTCTGTGCAAATACTTTTAATTCCTTAATTTACTCTTCGTAATAACTGTTTTCTTTTATTCATCTCAGGCCTCAACAAAATTATGTAGCATTTAGGGGAAAAAATACAAACGAGTAACCCAGCACTGGAAGCCAAGATAGAGAAGACCTCCACTGCTACCATATATTTCCCTTTGGTGCTCAGATAGGTTGGGACAAAACATAGCCAAACGCTGCAAAACATCAGCATGCTGAAGGTGATAAATTTGGCCTCATTAAACGTATCTGGAAGCTTCCGGGCCAGGAAAGCCACAGTCAAGCTGACGAGGGACAGAAGCCCCAAGTAGCCCAAAACACTATAAAACATGATGGCAGACCCTTCATTACATTGTGCTACCATTTGTGTATTCAGGGACTCCATTTCTAAATCTGGGTATGGGGGAGAGGTTCCGAGCCACAACACACATATGCCTGCTTGAATAAGGGAGCAAAGAAGGATGACAGAGTTGGACAGTTTTTTCCCCACCCATTTCCTCATGCTGGACCGTGGCTTGGTGGCCATGAAAGCTACTACCACAGTGATGGTTTTAGCCAGCACACAAGAAACAGCCACTGAGAAGATGATGCCAAAAGCAGATTGTTGGAGGAAACAGGACACCTTGGTAGGTTGTCCAAGGAACAGAAAAGAAGAAAGAAAGCAGATCAGGAGAGAGATAAGAAGAGTATAGGTGATATCCCGATTGTTGGCTTTGATGATAGGGGTATCTCTGTGCTTAATAAAAAATCCCAGCACCAACACTGTGATCAGGGAAAAAGAAAGTGCAACTGAAGCTAAACTGATCCCTATGGGTTCTTTATAAGAGAGAAAGCTGATTGTCTTGAGAACACATTGATCTTTGTCCTTGTTTGGATATTGATCTTCCCGGCATTTGATACAGTCTTCCATATCTAAAAAAGGAAAGGAAAGGAAAAGAATGAAGAGTTTCAGTGGTAACACATATCTGATTCTGATCAATTACTATTTTGGTTTAAGGAACCTCTGAGACTTTTTGGATTTTGATTTCTTAATGTTGGTCCTAGGTCTACAGGTGATCACACAAAAAGACATTTTAAGATTCTCGTACACAATCTATATATCTAATTTCCAACATGCCCCCATGTGCAGATACTTATTTCCATAGATAGGGGGGACGAGGGTAAAGAGACTTTTCTGCAAACTCGGAGAACTCCCCAGTTGTGCAGAAAAATGTAACATTTTTTGAAAGTATACAGGGGATACTTAAATCACCCCAAAAGTAAAATTGCTCAGTAAGGCAGAGAACAGACTTATTGAGGCCCCAAGGGAAGCTATCACAGCAATAACTGACCCCGCTGCTGAGACTGCCAGAAAAAGACAGAGGTGTGAGGGAAGCTGCCATGCCAATGACTGTCATACCAATAACCATCCACTGGGATGCTGGAAACGCCACTGCAAGACCCATCCCTGCTGCCACCAGGACCACCATCAATGCAGAATGTGGCTTCAGCTGCCAGCGGCTGGTTTGAGCACTGGTCTGCAGGGGGAAGGGAACCAGTGGAGGCCCCTGGGGAGGGAGGGAGGGAGGGAGGGAGGGTGAGCAGGTGAAGGGGGCAAAGGTGCCGGGGTGGTGGCAGCAGTGGCACCCCTCTGGGAGTCAGCCTGCCTACCCTCTGCTGCTGCTTTCCAAGTTCGCCCAGTAGCCAGTCAGCCAAAGCCTGAGTAGTTGAAGCCTGCGTTATCACTACCTGTCTCCCCCTACCATATCCATGTGGGAGATACCCACTCTCAAATGGGGATGTTTTCTGGCCTGCATGGCTGTGAAGGGAGAGAAACAGAAAGACATGGGGTTCCCTGAGAGGGGGGAGAGAAAGAGAGAAATAATAGGGGATTGTCTGTTGGGGGAGGGAAAGAGCAGAGGGAGAAAGAAGGGGCGAGAGGAGAAGAGGATGTGAGGGAAGATTGGAAGGTAAGGGTGCATGCAGAAAGACAGAGGAGGAAACTTTGACAACATAGGGAGGAGAGGAAAGCAAAAGTGGGAGGAGTGCCTCTTCCGCATAAGTTTCTCGTGGGGACCGCAGGCAACAACTGCCAGCCAATGCCTGGGAAATGTGGGGGGGGGCTGCAGAAGAATTGCACCTGGCTACCCCAATGGATACAGCGGGGTGTCAGTCATGTGGCCTGGGGGCCAGATCAGGCCCCGAAGGGCTTCCATCAGACCCGTTGTGGAACTGGCCATCTCCTGCTTCCAGTTCTGCTGCTGCTGCATTACAGCTTGCTTCTCCAGGCTCTCTTAATCACTCAGCCATTTCATGTTTTAACATGGTCCTAGACTCAGAACTCTGAGCATGAGATTTCTGTGGTGAATGTCAATAAATCAAAAGTAGGTTTGCAGTTTACAGAGCTAATGTTTTAAGCATGCTTATATGTTAAGTTAAAAAAAAACTTTTGTGTTTTTGTCCTTTATAAAGTTTATATGTCCGCTACCTGGCATTACATTTTATGACACATATGGCCCGGCCCAAGAAGTTCTCATTTATGTTAGATCTGGCCCTCATAACAAATGAGTTCGACACCCCTTGGATACATTGTGTGACTCCTGAGGCCCCAAAGCAGGAGCTGCCCAAAGACCCAGAGAGGAGATGAGGGAGGAGGGAGGGGGAAGGGAAAACATTGCCTGACCTTCATACCGAGCAAGGGAGAAGGGAAGGGGAAACAATGCAGACATTCCAAGAACTGTGAGATTTACAGTAAATCCATCCAGAAACATACCAAGCCAAAATAGGAAGCAAAATAAAATCATTACTGCTTTGCATACATTCTGTGTACTATCCTGAAAGGGGCTCATCACGAGGAGTGTATACATTTAGGGACTACAAATCCTACACTACGATTACATTAAAACATCATAAAAAGTACTCGGAACGTGGAGTGATTCAGCAAAGAGTACTTTATTAGTGAAGAACAAAGACGAGAAACCCCGGCACGCAGGCCGGTATATATGCTCAGAAACCCACCACCAAAACACACCCCCTAGTGACCCTATAGGTTATTTACAGTGGCTGAGAGTCCCATTGGCTCTCGGCCGCGGACCTGGCCCTCTGGTTGGTGCGGGCTAGGATCCGCTCCGCTATTGTTCTGCAGGGACGAAGCTCTGGGCTTGTGCTTGACCGCATGGCCCAACAGTCGCGCACGTGGTAATGGCGGATACATTACACCCCTCCCCCCATAGTCCAGGCTACCCGCACACAAAGTCCTGTAGGTGTGTTGGGGGTATCCGAGTCCTTGTGGAGCGGCGTGGTTCCGGGGCGCCTGTCGGATGTACCTCGGGAGCCCGGGGCGGGGAGGTTGGTTGTGGCGTTGGTAGTGGCAGCTCCGGAGGCTCTGGGTTGGCCTGGACAGGGACGGAGTCTGGGACCTGTCGCGCTGGCTCGGTGGCTGACTCTTCGCCTGGCTCGGTGGGCTCCAGGTCCACGGGATCGTCCGAGAGGACCCGGCGCCGCAGCTGATCGATGTGGCGGTGGAGCAGTTGGCCATCCTCACAGGATACCTCGTATGATCGAGGTCCTCGCACCCGTACCACTCGCGCTGGAATCCAGGGTGGGCCCTGGGCGTAGTTCCGGGCGTAGACGGGGTCTTCCGGGAAGAACCCCCTGGCGGCAGCGTGTGATTCCGTCGTCGGCTCTACCTCGGGTGCCCTGTCTGGGTGCAGGCGATCCAGCCGGGAGGTTAGGCGGCGACCCATCAGGAGTTCCGCCGGGCTGAGGCCGGTCTCCGTGTGCGGGGTTGTACGTTGGCCGAACAGGAACACCGCCAGCTTGTAGTCCCAG